ATTCAATAACAATATTAATACAGCATGTATTAATCAAAATGTAAAATGTAGCCATATTTCCTCATGTGCCTTTTACATCTGTGGCTTTTCTTAAGAGTTTGGTCAAGTAGTAGCCGTTGAACCTGTCTTCAGGTGGAAGTGGTGGTGGGAGTTGAATTTGTTTAAGTTGTACAAGGCCTTGTCGACCATTTTAAAGAGGACCTATTATCTTCATTTTGAGGTTCATACTTGTTTTTGAGTTTCTACTAGAACACATTGACGTGCTTTAATGGTAAAAAAACCCAAAACTCTTTATTTTCCTCAAGCTATCTCTGCTGGAACATCCATAATCACCCTCTGTCTGAGACGCTCCATTTTAGGGACTGTCCCTTAAAGTCCCGCTCCTGAAAAAGCCGTCTACTCTGACTAGTCAGCGTTTCTGGGTCTACCATATCTCAGGGTCTCTGCAATTCAGTCATTGCAGTCGGGGGAATGACTGCAAAGGAGAGTAGCGTCTCTTTTTAACGTGAAAAATCACCAATAAAAGCTATTAAACACAACTGAACACGGCCCAGCAGGAATATGATCCGAAATGGGGGAGAACATGTTTCCCTGACATTAGCACGTAGCTTCATGTAACAGTGTAGGCTACGTAGTGTTAACTAACGATGATGTCATACTGTCGCCAGAGTAGAAAAGGCTTTGGAAACAGGCCCTGTGTTGCTACATTAATAGTTTGTAACACTATATATAAGACACAATACAGAAAAGCATAATAGGTCCCCTTTAAATTTAGATTTAACTTTGGAAGTGTGTTTGTTGTATTAGGAAAACCTGTAAACACCCCGCACAGCACATGAATCCATTTTAAAGGTTTTATTTCAGAGCAAAAAGAACTGTCATACACTGTTCATACACTGCCAACTTCAGTAATTTGATTGATAAACTTTCTTCCACATTCTTATCCTCATGTCAGGTAGAGAAGAGCTTCTTGCAAACAAAGCAATAGAATTTTTGTGATGTTTTTGAAGGATAATGAAATAATAATAATAATAATAATAATAATAATAATAATAATATGAGAGCACTTAAATGAGTGTTAAAATAGACATGTGAAAAGGCGTAGAAACTTCAGCCTTTTGGGTTCTGGGACAACACAAAAACTGTAGTTATGTGAACTACATGCGAGGTGTGTGCATGTGTGCAACACTGTGCCACGTGTTTGTTGCTCTATCTCTTATTTTTCCCTTTTCCCGACCCTGTCTTTCCCCACCTCTGTAGCAAACCATCACTGCGAGGGGGGTCGGCTTCGAGCTCCAACCCCCTGCATGACTCCAGGTAACTTCACCTGGCACTTCACCTTCATTCTGATCCTTTGTCCTTCTCCGCATCTTTTCCTACCTTCCATTCTCATTGCAGGTCAAGAAATAAGGTTAAGCCTCGGTAGAAAAATCAAAATTAGGTTGCTATTCTTAGACACCAAATATGTGCTACTGTAATTAACACTCTGTTGTGGTTGAGTTATGTAATTCTCAAAGTGACTGCTCTCTTTTCCAGGCTTGCGTTAACAACATATGAAGCCGCGCTGGACGGGGGGCCTGATGACATGACTGTGGTTGATGCAACAACGCTTCGACGCCAGGTTAGTTCTTAATACAAACACTACCTCCATCTTGTGGCGCAGAAGCTAATCGTGGAAGCCCTGTGACTGAGAAAATTATTATTTTTTATTATTTATCTATAGCTCATCAAGTTGAACCGGAGACTCCAACATTTGGAAGAGGAAAACAAGGAGCGTGCAAAGCGAGAGATGATCCTGTACTCAGTCACTGTAGCTTTCTGGCTCATCAACACTTGGGTGTGGTTGCGACGTTAATGCTGACCCGTATTTCTGCCATCACCGTGACAGAAGAACGTATATCCCTTATTCTATGTGTCAAATTTTAGCTATTCGCTGCACTCAGTCCCTGTGTGAGGACGACCTTTACACGTGTGTACAAGGCCTGCTGTCCACAGGGCTTATATTTTGATTTGGTTTATTTAATACATGTACAGTTTTATTTTTTTACTCTTATTTCATCCTGTCTAATGTTTTCTCAAGTTTTTTTTTTTTTTTTTATTACAAATCTTCTTGCTCGATGCTAAGCATGACTTGTTGTAAATATTTGTTCACATCACCTAGAGCTTTGGAAAGATGTCGTCCAGAGATACAGAAAAGCATAGTTTACCAAAACAGAGAAGTGGAGCTGCAGTGTGGAGATGTAACATGTTGAATATTTATTGGGGAGAGAGTAATATGTGACTTGAACTGGGGATTAAAATACAATTTAGGAAAACCATACATATGACGTGTTGTCCTGTTTTCACTGGTGCATTAAGTGAAATTCACACATCGCTATAATATTGCTGTTATGTGAAGAAGGATCATGAATTAACATTTTTTTATTTTTAAATGTTATTAACACTAATTATAGGGGGGTTTTTTTGCCTTAAGGAGAAGAATATCATTGAACAGTTCATGTAAGATTTATTCTCTTTTTTCACAGTCTAACAATTAACCATATGAACAAAGTGGCTTTGAAACTCTTTACATTTCATTATAACAATAACCACTAAATATAATTTTAAAAATTAAAGCACTTAAAGAAAAAGATTATATTAGGAAACAACAGTTCATGTAAGATGTAACCAGTTTTCACAGTCTAATAATTAACAACCATATAAACAAAATGGCTCCAAATTCTGTAACAAATATGCATATGCATGAATTATATTTCACTGTAACAATAACCTCTAAATATTCATTTTTAAAATCAAAGCTGTGCCCTGATTGGGCTTCTCACAGCCTCACATGACCAGCATTAGGACATTTCATTTGGGGTGTGTCCTGTGAGACTAGTTTGTCACTTTAATCAGACAAAAATGCTTCAAAACTTCAGAGCATCAGTCCAGCTCCTCAATCAGGCAGCGTAGTGGAGAAGAGGTTTGGTTTGTTATGGACTTTCCAACAGTTTCACCAACGCGTGGCTTGGGGTTATCCTCATCTTCTGGATACACCAATGATGGAGACTTGGCACAGACCCCAGCTGATTTGTTGCTCATTGTGAACAGTGAATTTTTATCTGGCCCAAAGGTGGACATGCCCTCACGCTGATTACTGACTGGTTCGTCCTCATCACTGCCTCCTGATATGACCTCTATTTTAGGTTTGAACACTTACTCAGAAGAGAGCATTGCCGTGAAGTCTTCTGTGTCCACATCCTCCAGGTCAGGTAGGTCATCGACACGCAGTGAGCAGTGTGGTGGAAGGTGAATTGTTTCCAGTTGCTCAGCTTCCTCTAGCTCTGTAACCAGTGGTCCAGGACCATATGCTGGTACAGCGTCGTCTGCCTCAGGAGGAGCTGCCCTTACCAAAGAAGGTAGCTTCTTTTCAGACTGCTTGCTTGTGCTCTCTGCTTCATTTCTCACAAACTGGATTCCACCAGAGTGGCTGTCATCTACGTGTTCTGTCTCAAGTATCTGTCCTGCAGACCTCTGTAGCTCTTGTGCTGAGTGCTCCACATTCACCCCCTCATTGATTTCGCTCACAGGCTGCTTCATCTGTGATTTCTCCAGGTTATCGTTCTCTAACTGCTCCCTCTGTAAGTCTTGACCTGGCTGCTCTGCTTCCAGATGTTCACAGCTTGGCTGATGCAAGAACTCTTCATGGGCGTCCAGGCAGTCCTGGACGAAGGCTTGGATCGTCTCTCCTTTTGATGAAGTCACAATCTGGGTGTCATGGTCCTCACTCTGAGTCTCAGTTGCCCCTGAAATGAAACAGACTGGTTAAAAAAAGCAAATCATTTACTCTATGTATGTGCACAAGGGTGGTAAAGTTTAAAACTGTTCACCTTTCTCATGTAGCTCTCGAATGCGTCGTCTCTCCAGGGCTGCCTCTCGAATCTTCGCCATGCCATCCAAGCTGTCCTGAATTTTCCTCCTCTCTCGCGTCTCCCATTGCTCCCTCTCTTTCCACTCCCCTTCCAGACCTCCCACCGCCCATGCCTCTGCACACGCCCTGTCTTTGGGGAACACGGGGTAATCATCCAGAAAGGTGAGCTGCTTGAGACGCACAATCATGGTCTTCCTGTAGTTTGGGATTTTTTTCACCACCTCATTTCCACTTAGATTTAGCACCCGCAGCTCTGGCAAAGCCTCAAGCACAAGAAGGATCTCAGGGTCATTTAACAGATTGTGAGACAAGTCCAGCACACTGATTTCTAGACACTGATTCAGATGCTCAATGTCCCCCGCTGTCTCCAGCTTGTTATGTGAAATCTGCAGAGTGCACAGGTCAGGGAGGCAGGAGAGGTTCTCAATGGTGCGTATGTAGTTGTTGGACACATTGAGGGTGCCGAGCTTTTTCAGAGGTTCAAGGTTTTCCAGCTTGTAGATCAGGTTCTGCTGAAGGAACAAGCAGCGCAGATCAGTCTGGGCATCCAAGTTCTCAATGCGTTGAATGCCATTGCTTTGCAGCCAGAGACACTTCAGACCTGTGTACTCCTCTAGGTTCTCAATGGCGAGAAAGCCTTTGTAATGCAGGTACAGTGTGTCATTCAGGCAAGGTGTGTAGTAAAGTTTGTTCTCCTTACAGTGGTCTTTCAGGAACTTCTTGGTCATTCGTGGACCTGAATATTTTTCCTTTGTCTCCTGCGGGTTTTTGTTATTTTCCTCGCTTTCTTCAGCTCCATCCTTCATCACAGCATCTCCGCATCCCGCATGAGTCGCTTTCACTACTTTATTTCCCGTCGTTTCTTGGATTTCAGGAGTGGACATCGCCAAAAATATATCAAACTAAAAAGCAGAAGAAACAGAAACAATCTATTCTTACTTTGTATCTGTATTTCAGCGAGTTATAAGATGTATATTCCTGTAAACTTCACTCGACAGTCCGCTCTGCAAGCTAACGTTAGTAAACGTTTATGTTTGTTTCCATGGTAACTTGCGTTCTTGGTTGCGTTGGGAACGACTTGCCTAGCCGGATGTTGTTTCTTGTTCCCGGGCGGACCGTTTTCGCCGTTGCACTTAGATGTCAGTGGTCAACATGGCGTCCGGATTCATATTAAATCGTGGTGCGCTGACATTAGGAATTCACTGCCGGCGTGTTTGCAGAAATATAACTTTAACTCAGGTCAGAGAGAAGAAGAGATGGATGAAAACGTACACATACCTCATGGCGAAGAAGTTGAAGCTGGAAGGACCTCCGCCACCCAAGCCACGGTGAGGCTAACGCTAGCTAACACTAGAGAACATCTCAAGGCCATTATCAGTGTATATGATATGTTGGCCAATATGTGTTTATTCGTGTTAGCCGAATAAGTAGGCTTGGTTTATAAATTCGTATAGCTGCGTCACACAAATTGTCAATGCAGACTTGTTTAGCAGCGCGCGTGCTGTTGCTATTCACACAGTTTTTTAAGTGGACCCAGGAGCGGTATGTTAGCTAGCCATAACTGTTCATTTGCACAGGTGAAGAAAAGTCTGCCTCCTCTCCAGCCTCACTGTGTACCTCTCATTTTATCACCATAATAATATTTCTTAGAGTAATTTGAACCATTAAGTTTTGCTTGTAATCCTCAAAGACACTTTGCTCCTCCTCCTGATGGTACAAAAACTATTAATGAATGAACTTTTAATGCATGCATGAACTTTATTTATATAGCACCTGCTTTACAATTCAGCTGCAGAGAAAAACAGCAAAGATATAAAGCCATACAATTGTACAACACTCATTCAAGGAGAAATTAGAAGAAAATATAAATTCTCCAATCAATAATTAATTAAGATACATTTTAAGAATATTACAACAGATAGCTGCTAGTGATAGGCTATATGAAAAAAGATATGTATTGAGTCATCATTTAAAACTGTCCACTGAGCCAGCAAGTCTAAAATAAGGTATGGTGTTCCATATTTTTGGGGATTAGTAGCTAAAAGAAGCATCCCCAAAGGTTATATAGTGACATTAGGAACAGTAGATAATATATATACCTATGTATACTATATAGGAGGGAGCGCTGCAATTAAGAGCCTTAAAATCCAGTAAAAGGATTTTAAAATCAATTCTAAAAGACACTGGGTGATAGTGTAGGTTGCATAAAACAGGAGTTATAATGGTCTCTCTTTTTAGTTTTTGTTAAAACCCTGACAGCAGCAGCATTCTGAATGGTCTGTAATTTTGCAATGGCAGTTTTAGGTAGGCCAGTGTATAGAGCATTACAGTGGTCAAAACAACTGAGAACAAAAGCATGAACAAGCTTCTCAGCATCTTAAAGGCTCAGTACAGGTTGCACCTTAGCTGTATTGCGGAAATGGTAAAATGCAGTTTTTGTTAATGGATTAAAATGAGCTTGAGATCAGAATCTAAAATGACACAGAGGTTTCTTACTTGTGTTTTTTTTTTGTGTGGCCAGTTGGAGAAGAACAGTTAGAATTTCTTTAAGTTGGGCTGTATGAGGTACTTATCCATAGTCAATGTATTACCTGCATTAGATGTCAGTAAGCCCCCACTTTGGTAAGCAGACAGGAATCTGACATAGAATCCAAGCAATGTACTGCTGTGGATGGGGTTAGCAAAAAAATGTATTTTAGCCACCATAAAAAAGTCCCACCTGGGGCGTCGGTGGCTTAGTGGATAGGGCAGGCGCCCCATGTACAAGGCTGTTGCCGCAGCGGCCCAGGTTCGACTCTTTAATCAATTAGTTAATTTGTGTTATTGTGAGACTTGAGTGAATCTGAACAAACCACTTTAAATGCTGAAGTCAAGCTGTAACACAAAAAAACCTGATAGAGACAGTGGTAAACCAGCAGCTCCTGTGTTAAGGGTTGTTAAATCACAGTTTTTCTCAATGGAGTTTGGCTTTGTTGAAAGCAATATAATGGCTTCAGTGGTGAAAATACTCTCAGTATAGCATACACTTAAACTGATAGTGGTTGTTATAGGTGGGACTTAGCTCAGTCACACTACTACTATACATAGGGATGTTTTGAATTACCCAAATGGCACCACTCAGAAGTAATAACCATTTTTGCACGTGTGTAACACCCAGTTTGGGATCAGTTCTGTAGAGGAAGTCCTGACTCATAGTTAACACCATGTTCGTCTTTCTTTCAGCTCTCAGCAGCCTAACTGGGATTACCATGCTGAGGTTCAGGCTTTCAGCACCCGCCTCCACGAGAACTTCTCCCTGGAGGTGCTGAAAACAGCCTTCATCAATCCCTGTTACCTGCAGGCAGAGCAAGAGAGGAGAAAGGAGTTAGGCATGGACTCTGAGGCCACAGCTCTTGTTCTGAAAGATAATATTCAGTTGAGTGAAAAGGGAGCGGGTTTCACTACAAGCTTCCTGACCGACTGGTGCAGGGCCAGCTTCCCGAGCCTGCCGAGTGAGGGGGTGGATGGCGTCGTAGGGCACCTCACCAGTTCAGCAGTTGTGACCTATGTAGCAAGAAATCTCGGCATCGAAGACCTAACCATGAGTGGAGAATGCCCTGTTCCTGATGATGTGATTTACTCAACATTCATGGCCGTGATCGGAGCTCTACAGGAGAGCAGCGGTGCGGAGCGAACCGGGTTTTTCCTCAGGGTAAGAGGCTTGCTGCAGATTATTATGGGTATACCTTTTTTTGCTTATAGAAACGTAACATTTTTCTTTTCCTTCTCCCCTCTCCGTAGGATTTCTTGGTCACTCAGCTGATAGGGAAGGACTTGTTTGATATGTGGACAGTTGTCAACCCCATGGGATTATTGGAAGAGGAGCTCACTAAGAGGAACGTTCTATTGCCAGAGCCTCGCCTCATCAGGTCTGCTGGAGCCAGTACCGTCCTGCCACTATACTTTGTCGGCTTGTACAGGTACGTGTACTGTTGTGGATGCTCTTACCCAAATTACAGCAATTGAAGATGTACATAAGATTGGAATCAGAGCTGATATAGACATAAATTCAAGTTACATTACAAGTTACACTTTTGAGGTTTGAGTAAGATGCAGGTAAGTCATAATAGACATGATAGTTAAAAGTGTTTTGTGTATGATCTGCCAAGCATACTTATTTATTTGGGGTTTGTTTACTTGTGTTAATTCAGTGACAAGAAGCTTCTGGCTCAGGGTCCAGGAGAGACGCTCGTGGCAGCCGAGGAAGAGGCAGCTCGCGTGGCCCTCCGGAAACTCTACGGCTACACTGAGAACCGCAGACCCTTTGACTTCTCTCCACCGCAGCAGCATCAGCAGCCATTTATTCAATCAGTCAGCAGCAATTAATGAAGTAACAACTCTTATACTGCAGCAGAAAATCATTTAAAGGGGCTGCAGTTGGACAGGGAGGTGGCATGAATCCACCTAAGAGGTCATTTGAGGTATAGAACGTCTCAGTTGTGGGTAACGGACTTGCTACAGATTTTATGGAGAAAGGGAATAAGGTTACCATCTACCTTATTACATACTAGGCCAACAGTGCACTTGTCAACATTGTTCTGTTGGGTATGTCAGCCCCCCCCCAACCAAAGGAGGGCAAAATAAACCTTATTGTCCATTGAAAATGTGTGACTTTGGCAGAAGATCCATGTATCCACTGAATCAGACGGAAATCTCAGCATTGTTGAATGAATTTGGAAGCATATTCAAGAGTAAAGTCCACTGGTCCCCTTGGCCAGTAACCTATAGGTTCAGCAGTCCATTGCAAAAAATAGCCCTGATATCTGGTTGTCCTTGTAAATAATAAAGGTGCCATTTGGTTTACTTGGTATTCTGTTATAATATGTTCATCTGTAATAAAAAGTAATAAGAAGGTGTACACAATGACTTTGTTCATGCATGTTTTTTTGGATCATGACTATTTTCTTCCATATTATTGCACTTATGAAAGGTGAATGTGTGGATATAAACATGATATCTAGATTTATTTTCCAACATGTACATGTCATACATTTGTAGGTTATTGCATAAGGATTTAAAGAAGTCATCTGTTTAAATGTGTAATGGTGAGTATCTGTTACACATTTACATGGGGCTCAATGAAGTGACTGATTTAAAGTCTATACCCTGGAAATGGGTCATATTCTCTGCAGAGGGCTAACCTGACCAGCCCGAAGGAGAAACGTTGTACTTCGTCATAATTTGCCTTAGTAACAAATCACATGGCTTTTTACATGCATGGTCTTATCTACATGACTCATTACATGTTTTGTTCTGTGATATTTATAAATGTAAAATGACGCATTGCATTAGAAGAAACGCACCAACACAGTCCCTTATGGTTAGACCACCCTCAATAGTGTTGCAGTGACAATGCTAATCCACACAGTGGCGCTAATGTGTTAAAGACAGACTAGGAGTGCTCTGTGCACTGTCATGAGAACAACCAAAGAGATGGCATTTAAGAGACAAGATAGTTCATGTCCTCTTGTAACCTTCGGAATCCACTGTGCTGCACGTGAAAATCCTCTGCCATTAAAACCTTATTTACACCAATGTTTTCCACATAACTGATGATCTAATAACTGCAGATGAAATTAAGTGCGGTAATTCTTAGACGCAAGAATAAAAGTAAATTTTCGTCATCGACGCCGGGCAAAAACGCAGTGCATGCATAGGACAAGAGCGGCATTATTGTCGTAGACCATTGCGTGGTAATAAAGGTTCATTAAATATAAGTGGCATTACAGACCAGACTATGAGAAAATGTGCTGGAACTATGTTGGAGCGTAACAAATATAGTACGCCCATATTTGACCCTGACCCAAAAAGTAACGGCGCAGTCTGCGTAGCAGGATTTAAGCGAAGCCGGAAGTTGGTGGCAGGAATCATCTTGTTCCGTCAGTCTAGCTGCTCCAACGCCTCAAACTCCTTGTTCGAGGAGAAGCAAGGCCCCCCTCCACAACAGAGCCATCTACCCATTCCCTCTCTGTCCTTAGCACGGGTCGACAAGCGTTAAAAAGCACAGACCTTTTGTTTTAGCTGTAGCGGACCCTCCAGTGTCCCCCCTGGTTTTTATTAATCCTGCTGTATATCCCTCACCATGGCGGCGAGTGCGAAACGAAAACAAGAGGAGAAACACCTGAAGATGCTGAGAGAAATGACGAGTTTGTCTCCCAACAGAAAGTGCTTTGACTGCGACCAGCGGGGCCCAACCTATGCCAATATGACTGTGGGCTCCTTCGTGTGCACCTCCTGCTCTGGCATCCTGTAAGTTTGAAGTTGCGGAGTGACCTTAGCTTAGACATGGCGCTCACGATGTAACGTTTTGGAACGCTTCGGCTACTAACAGCTCCCGAAGCCAGTTAACCAACCGGCGCTAGCTAACGGTTGATAGGTAACGTTATTCGGCGGTGTCAGTGGGAGTGTTGGCTGCTTTGACATTGTCTTTCTTTGCTGTGTTGGGCGGGGTGGCTGTTTAGCAGAGGTGTCAGTGTTCGGCGTAGCAAGCTAGGTGCTAGCTAACTTTAGCTTCCAGTGCTAGCCAGTGAACTTATCTGACACTTGCAAGCTAGGTCTACAGATAAGCCAGGAGCCAGCTGCTGCTACCAGTTGCTGACAGCGTTTGGAGGCACCACCTTGTAACTGAGCTAATTGACCTGTTCATGGGATACACCCCACATTCAAAGACACAGGAATACATCATTCTGTTGGGCGAGGTCCATTTATTTCTATCACGAATTTTGTATTAACTTATGTCGCTTACTAGAATTGTTAAAAAGGTGATGAGAATTATTTATTTGATCTCAATAAAGGGTTTTTATTGAGAATGCCACATTCTGGGATGCGACACATTTGTTGCCATCATTTTGCATTTGGACCAGTCATTTAGAGGTATCACACCACTCAATCTTTTTGCATATGGACCAGTCATTTAGATGTATCACACCACTCAATCATTTTGCATATGGACCAGTTATTTAGAGGTATCACACTACTCAGTCATTTTGCATTTGAACCAGCCATTTAGATGTATCACACCACTCACTCATTCTGCATATGGACCAGTCATTTAGAGGTATCACACCACTCACTCATTCTGCATTTGGACTAGTCATTTAGAGGTATCACACTACTCAGTCATTCTGCATTTGGACTAGTCATTTAGAGGTATCACACCACTCACTCATTCTGCACATGGACCAGTCATTTAGACGTATCACACTACTCATTCTCTACAAGATGCACACTGATGAAAATACCAGCAGGACTTTTACTCTTAACAACTGGCTGACCCCAAAACAATTTGTGCCAATTCACCCGTCAGTAGTTTACCTCCTACAACACCACAGCATTGATAGTTTGAGTGTAGCTGGGTGACTTTAGATAGCGTCTCCCTGACTTAAAGCTTTGCTGTGCAGTTGTGTAACCAAGCATCTGTAGCTTGGGATTTGGGATTAGCGAAGCATTCCATTTCTTCTTATTCAGCTAAAGATATCCCATTTCAATAAAGCTGTCAAATTGTGCTTGATGTTAAAATGTTTTTTTGTGTGTATGTGATGCTGATCACATTTGGAAAGAAATATAAAGTTGTGTGATATAGTAATGATAATTTTTTGCATGACTCAGCTACTGCACAGCTAATGACACGATGACATTCAGCATGGAGAGAATGTTTGGCTTATATTATCTATATTGCGTGACATTGTGATTATCTGGACATAATCACTCTCATCTGAAGGCATTAGAGGATTATGCTGTTTCCTCTTTTGAGTGCATTGACATTTGGTTCACTGAAAACCAAATTTTGCCCACATACATCAAGTGCTAAAAACCATACAGCGTAAATTTTCCAACTGTACACCATTCTTGCAAGGACTTTAGCAAACATAGCATCATGAAATTCTGGGGTTTCATTTATAAAACAGTGCGTAGGATCCATACTAAAAATGTACGTACAGGCAAAAGCCAAAAATAGCGACACCAAAAAATATTTGACAGTTTCTACAATCTGGCTTCCACCTCACCATCTGCATTACCAATTTCCAGTCTCCAAAATGTTTGTAGGCATGGGTCAAAGTTTCTCCCATCAAAGCTGTTTAGATCACAACTTTTGAGTGGGAAGTGGTGTACACCTCTTTCAGGCCTCCTTTTGTGCATATGTAACATTTATAAGTGAGACCTCTGGTCCTCTCTTTGCCGCCAAGTCACATCTTTGCTCACAAATACTTTACCTGTTTTCTTGTAAACGTACGAGTGTTTACTTTTCACAAGCCTTTGTAAGTGAAAACATTTGCGCAGAGTTAATTGGCTGTGAGCCCTTAGCAGGTAACTCAATAAGCTGTTCATCCGCCCATCTTGTTCTTCTGCTCATTCACACAGGCAGCAGCTTGTACTGGTCCTTAATGCTTTATGGAAATAACCTGGCCAATCTCCATTTGTGAATAATGGTTTTTCTAATAATGATGCTGGGGAAAGGGGAAGCATTTGTTGCCCAGTAATTCCCCACTGATGACCTTTTAGTTTTATTAGTTGACAGGGGAACAGATGACTTCATTGATACATTACTAAGCGGTTTGTCTCTCAGATTTTGCCTGAGATACAGCCTTTTGTGGTTCATGACCTTAATCTGTGCAAACTGTTTCCTGTCCTCACTGAACGTGAAGGTTATTTACTGTAGCATTGAAAAGAATAAGATTAATTGTGTGTTTGCTGATGGGCGCAGTTTGCCCTCCATTTCACTTTACCGATGTGTCTGTGGGGACTCCACTGTGAATTTCCCATCTGCTCACCCTGTAGTATTAAAGTCTGTAATGTGCGTTAATTGAGTTCTTTAATAGCTTGAGATCACAATACCTCCTCTTTCCCTCCTCCTGCTTCTCATTCGCTTTTTATGAAGACAAAACATGCTGTGTGGAATTTCAGTGACGACAATCCTCTCAGCCGAAGAGTGTGGGTTTAAAAGGATTGCTGTCTGTCTGATGTATGCAGGAAGCCTCATGTGATTGTAGGCTCAGGAAGTGGTATGGCCCCACCATGCTGCTACATCAGCAGCATGTGCTATTCTGTGTGCCACAGGAAGTGGCAGAGAGGTCATTGTCTGCCTCTCTCTTTCCTCTTAATTCTAGAGAGGCAAAGATTTAGGCATTATGAGAGAGCACCTCAGTATTCATGCTCAGACTTGATCCATTGTTTTGGGAACTGTCTTGACTACCCTCTATCACTGTTGTGTGAATAAATGTAGTGTTTGCCTTATGTTGCCCTCGACAACAAAATGAGCACAAACCCCCTCAACACAGGTACCCACCTCCTGTAGCCTATACGTTCTGCATTTACCAGGAAAAATTATAATGCTGGATCAAACATAGTCTTTTAAGTCTGAAACAGCACATTTGGCTTGTTGAGACGTTGCTGAGGAAATCACAGTAGCGATTTTTAATTTAAGGAAGTAGTTTGCCCTTCCCTTCTTTCATTTGCAGTTTGGCAGCAACACTGTTTGACTGTTTAGGGGTGATAGCAGGGGCATGACTACCTTCTCCCCCCATAGTTGTGGTTGTTAAATGGGTGGAGTTGGAATCTGCTATGTAAACACATTCCTGATGAAGGTGGAGGCCTTCCCAGGAGGAACACCACTCACAATGTCTCTTTCTGGAGTGCCCATGGCAGGAAGTAACCCCACTTGGCCTGTGTGTTCCTGAGTAAGCAGTCATGTGCCAGAGGTTGGGAGGTGTCACTGACACCAAATATACTTCATAGTATTTACCAGTGGCAGGTTAACAGATCTGAACTTTAAAAACGGAGCATGCGTGGTTTTCCCTTCCCCCTGACAACTGATCTCTGATCTCTTAAAAAAGTGCAATGTTTGAAGCACAGTTGGATGACAA